TGTCAAAAGTCTCTCGACACATATGTAGGCCCATCAGTTTCTCTATTGCCGTGTCTCTGTAAATGTTTCGAAGGACTTTTGGCATTGATTTTCATTCAGAGTCCTAAATTAACTAATAAGCGGTCATACGGTGCAGTTAAATGTTCGGTTTTCGTATCGACGTACTGAATTGCAAAATAAATTCGTTGTAATTTCATATTAAGATACGATCCTCTCATTTGTTACTGCACGATAATTTTCTGATGACAATATTTTACGACTTAACCAATACCTCTTATCAGACGTGGTGTAGGATGATATCTGAAACTATTACCTATCATCAGACGATTTTCATACATATATACTGCATCATAAAAACGCTTTCTTTTTCTATACGTATTGTCATCATAACAATAGGGTCAGTGAGGGTTTGTGACGGGGAATCGAAGGCGTTACTAATTTACTGTTGTGATATTGAATTCTCGTTGATTTGTTATGGACAGAAATATTCATTCTAAGACAAAAACAAATATATAAATAAATAAAATCATTTGAGATATACAAACATAAATGAACATGTATTAATTCATAGTCTATAAAGGGGTCCTCAACGACTTTATGATTTATATTCCGGAATGTGAGGGAAACCATTATATGTGTACAACTTTATTATTTATGGAACAAAGGTATGGAGCTGACCGGAAGCCATTTAATTGGGTCAGGCCTGTCTGTAGGTAAAGCATAAGTTAACGCTATGTCAAGGTTGACAGAAGAAATTAGTCTGGTTGAGAAAAAATATTTCACCTCTTGTATTATTGGTCGTATCACAGGTGATGCAGGGAAACGAAAACAATACCGAAGTGTAAACAAAACCCTGATTAGAATCAGTAATCAGCTAACCAATGGAAAAATATAAACAAAGATTTAAAATGATGCCGTTGAAATGATAAGTAGAAAACGACAAGGGTTTCAGAAAGGCTCTACGTATACGTTTTCTGCTTCATCGACGGCAGCTGCCGTGTAAATCTAGGTCACATCCAAGTAATGTCGCGTTAAAAGCGCGACTCAGGCTAGTGACAACAAACTTACAAGTCACTCCAATAAGCGTAATAAACAAACACACGTCGAGATACATATCGCATACGGAAATAGATTCTTTCTTGGGGAGATAATAAGGGCGACTACAAAAGCTTGCCTTATTATTTAATATCATCTCTTGAAACCTTACGTGTAAAGTGTTCGGAGCAAGGTCTGGAATTATCGAATCAACTACGACCTGTAACATCATAGGTGGAGACCGTAAGATGTTTCTAGTTATGATAAGCTCTTTAAAAGTACAGCCTGTTACGCAAACAAAAACAAGTCGGCCAGAACTGGGGCAGAATATAGACCCACAGCAATGTCTACAGTTTGCTGGAAAATCTTGGCACTAAACTAAAAAAAGATGCTTTCAAATTGTAACCTAATCATTCTCATCATTAAATTATAAGAATATTTCAATTTTATCGTTGTCATGTTTTTTTTTTTACAGAACATGCTCCAAAGTATTTTACAATCATATATTTATGTCGCCTTACTTAGAGAAACGGCGTAAGAGAATAATGCTATAATAATTATACTGCAGTGTTGTCCGTACCACAGGTTGTGCTAAGACGTGTTAAGTCTTAACGCCGTGGTATATTCCGGGCTTTTTAGGGTCCCCAGAGGTTATTGTTTTTCAGATTAAGTTTGCATGAAAATATGGTCATTTTGTGTTAATTTGATCCTTTTAATATCTTCTACCTTCACAGTTATAGATTCACTGTACGGTTGATATTTTAGTTTAAGATAGTCAATGTCGATATTTCCTAACTTCAATGCACCAAACCTCATTTTGTATCTATAGTATCTAAATAAATAATGAATACGGTTATTGTCTAATTTTGTTGTTAATGACGATATTTTCTAACTTAAAAACGTTATTTCTCAACCTAAATGTCGTTATGTATAAACTTCGCTGTCGATGTCGTTATGTATCAACTTCGCGGTAAATGTCGTTATGCATTAACTTCGCGGTAAATGTCGTTATGTATAAACTTCGCGGTAAATGTCGTTATGTATAAACTTCGCTGTCAATGTCGTTATGTATCAACTTCGCGGTAAATGTCGTTATGTATTAACTTCGCGGTAAATGTCGTTATGTATAAACTTCGCGGTAAATATCGTTATGTATCAACTTCGCGGTAAAAGTCGTTATGCATTAACTTCGCGGTAAATGTCGTTATGTATCAACTTCGCGGTAAAAGTCGTTATGCATTAACTTCGCGGTAAATGTCGTTATGTATCAACTTCGCGGTAAATGTCGTTATGCATTAACTTCGCGGTAAATGTCGTTATGTATAAACTTCGCGGTAAATGTCGTTATGTATAAACTTCGCAGTAAATGTCGTTATGTATCAACTTCGCGGTAAAAGTCGTTATGCATTAACTTCGCGGTAAATGTCGTTATGTATAAACTTCGCGGTAAATGTCGTTATGTATAAACTTCGCAGTAAATGTCGTTATGTATCAACTTCGCGGTAAAAGTCGTTATGCATTAACTTCGCGGTAAATGTCGTTATGTATAAACTTCGCGGTAAATGTCGTTATGTATAAACTTCGCAGTAAATGTCGTTATGTATCAACTTCGCGGTAAATGTCGTTATGCATTAACTTCGCGGTAAATGTCGTTATGTATAAACTTCGCGGTAAATGTCGTTATGTATAAACTTCGCGGTAAATGTCGTTATGTATTAACTTCGCGGTAAATGTCGTTATGTATAAACTTCGCGGTAAATGTCGTTATGTATCAACTTCGCGGTAAATGTCGTTATGCATTAACTTCGCGGTAAATGTCGTTATGTATAAACTTCGCGGTAAATGTCGTTATGTATCATTAACTTTGCGGTAAATGTCGTTAAATATAATCTTCGCGCTAAATATCGTTATGTATCAACTTCGCGGTAAAAGTCGTTATGCATTAACTTCGCGGTAAATGTCGTTATGTATCAACTTCGCGGTAAATGTCGTTATGCATTAACTTCGCGGTAAATGTCGTTATGTATAAACTTCGCGGTAAATGTCGTTATGTATCATTAACTTCGCGGTAAATGTCGTTATGTATCAACTTCGCGGTAAAAGTCGTTATGCATTAACTTCGCGGTAAATGTCGTTATGTATAAACTTCGCAGTAAATGTCGTTATGTATCAACTTCGCGGTAAAAGTCGTTATGTATTAACTTCGCGGTAAATGTCGTTATGTATAAACTTCGCGGTAAAAGTCGTTATGTATAAACTTCGCGGTAAATGTCGTTATGCATTAACTTCGCGGTAAATGTCGTTATGTATAAACTTCGCGGTAAATGTCGTTATGTATCATTAACTTCGCGGTAAATGTCGTTATGTATCAACTTCGCGGTAAAAGTCGTTATACATTAACTTCGCGGTAAATGTCGTTATGTATAAACTTCGCGGTAAATGTCGTTATGTATCAACTTTGCGGTAAATGTCGTTATGTATCAACTTTGCGTGAATGTCGTTATGTATCAACTTTGCGGTAAATGTCGTTATGTATAAACTTCGCAGTTAATGTCGTTATGTATTTACTTCGCGGTAAATGTCGTTATGTATCAACTTCGCGGTAAATGTCGTTATGTATAAACTTGGCGGTCAATGTCGTTATATATCAACTTTGCATTAAATGTGGTTATGTATCATTAACTTCGCGGTAAATGTCGTTATGTATTAGCTTAAGGAGTTTCCACCCTTCGTAATACACATGTTTTTCTTTTCGTATTTTCGTGTCGTCATTTCCGTATTGCGTATCGAGCATTCCATTACCATGGTGTAAATTATAGTACAATAGTACACGTGCGTGACGATGATATGTCAACACCCGATATCGAGACTTAACTTGGAAATGTGTAATCACACGTACTTCAGAAATAAAGCTTATGATACAAAGACATTAATTAACTCACGGGCAAACACTGACATACGATCAGACGACTTCCAAGAAGGTCGTAGATGTGTTTTGTTTACCGACCTCGACTGTACGTATCACGTGCTAACAGTAGTTCACAAGCTCTTGGCCGCTACGACTTTTGTTGTCGAGCGAGTTACGCTCTGTCAGATAAATCGGTCCACAAATGCAATTACAATAACTATGTCAAAAAGTGGTTTGTTAAATATCAAGATCCCTATAAAATGCAAGTGCATGTGCGTGCACGTAATAACGGCATACCATGCGATAGCTTATGGTTACATATGTACCTGACATGTTAATATACCATGCGTAAGCAGGCTATGGAATGATGTCCAAAGTGTACATGATGGAGAGTAATTTTGTTCCATAAAAGAACAGTAAATTGACAATTAAATGTAGTAATTTAAATTACTTCCGTCGTTTTTTGGTATAGTAAAGAAAATAAATGTCATTGTATAAATTCTATCCCTCTGCAAAAAGTTCCGTTTTTTTTTAAGGTAGACAACTCTCATCAGGATCAAAATTATTGTAAAATGAAAAATTAATTAATTATAAAGACTTTGTGTGCATTTGGTTCAATTTTTCAGTCTTTTTGTATGAAACTATGTGTCCTGTTTGCTTTAAGCTTGTATCTAGTAACTGTTATCCATACAATTTCAATAAAAAACGCTTTTTGTAACATGTTGTAGATATTTTATGATAAATAAAATATTTGTAGGGTTGATTAGCAATGTTTCTTTTCATAATTTTATTGTTGTGATAGTTTTGAACAATGCCACACGCTCAAAAAATGTAAAAGTGTTGAATTTGACAAAAAATCAATATTTCGGTATTTTTTACAAAAAAATCCCCAGATTATCGGAATGCTTAGATTTTCATAAAATCATCTCTACATAGTGACATAACCATTATGTGAAACTTTCATTGAATTCTGCTGGCTAATTGCGAAAGGGTGGAGCCTCCTTAACGGAAAATGTTGATTTTCCCCTACTTCTCAGTATACATATATGAATTGTTTCTTGATTTCTCATTAAATTTTGATATTTTTGCAACTTGACAGTATTTTTTTTTATTTACGCTGCCCACATCAATGAGATCGTTAAGATATTTACATATTATATAACATAAATAAACCAACTCACAGGTATCAATAATTTCAGCATACATATATATGATTACCATATTAAGTGGCGCGTGTTTTAAGTCTCGATGCTACGTGATTTTATCTGTTGTATATATAGTGGGGTATCAACCACACTTGACATTTTGTAAACGCCCTGTTCCACACCAGTGAATGCCGTGCTAAATTCATCTAACATGTATTAAAAGGGGTAAGATAAATATTTCCGTCTGGTGTTATTTTTGTGGAAATTGTTTCTGTGTAAATGTTTGATAATCGCACTTCCTTGTGACTGTGGTATACTAAGGTCCATGACTCCCATCAGTGTATAGGTAGGTATACTAAGGTCCATGACTCCCATCAGTGTATAGGTAGGTATACTAAGGTCCATGACTCTCACCAGTGTGTAGGTAGGCTACCAACATTGTAGTAACCCAGTCTGTGTAAATCTGGTTGGTCTTACTCGTAACATAGTAACTCGATCTGTTTTTTCTGTGGTAGATCGTACCCGACATTCCTGTATGCTGGTGGTGCTTTCTCGCCTATCTTCACTCTAAATCACAGCCGAACCCCCTCCTCTGCTGATGTTTACTACGAGAGTCGTGGATTAACAATTGAAGAGAGAATTGCCTCACACGGTTCCACGCTGGTGTTTGATATCTACAGACAAGTTGTTCACAGGAATCAATAATCCGGCCCTGTGTGCTGAGTATTAAACAGATAGAGTGGCAGCTTCGGTGACGCTGTGTCTAACTGAAGGAGGACTGGAGTTAGGCCACTTCCGGCTCGACACACCCCTCCTCTCCCAGGTGTGGCACAGGTGTGGTTGTTTTAGTGTAGGCGGTGTGCACACACCTGATAATAATGACGGGCGATCATGTTTGACCTGTGATAAGCTAGGTAAGTCTACTGTATATTGATTGCTTTGCACAATCCCAGCACACCTGAAATACATTTCACGTGCTATGATCCATTTATAAGTCTACGCGTTCTTAAAAATAGAAAGGTGATATGAATAATTAACGTTCACGATATAATGCTTTGCATGGGGCAAACTCGTTCGTATATTGCTGTATTCGTCACAATGACATACATTAAATATAATACGCAGCCATGTAGAACCGACTTGGTTAAATGGCACAGCTTGTATGTCCAATACTACAATACAAAACAATGGCTTATAAATATAATTGACGACATACGTTAATTCAATCAGGACGGTTTTAATACCCACGTGTCTCTCTGTGTGTATGTGCATGTAAATGTGGCATTCCTATAGTCAACTTAATCAGGACGGTTTAATTTTTATGTCATTAATTGGCACCAACACACGTGTGATTGTATGTGTGTGTACATGCCGTGCTCCACGATCGTCAAGTTTGCTGTGAATATCTAATTGCAGATACAGATTGTGTGATGATCACTTACCTACACAAACTATAGCAGTACTAGAGCACTGAGGGTGTTTACCGGTAGCACTACCGTGGGTAAACCATACACTGGTAACCGTATACGATTTGGATTACGAGTAATTTGATATTAATTCTACTACAATAATAGTAGTTTTCATATCAAAGGAAACTCCACAGTATACATAAGGTAGGTACATGTATTACCTGTGATAGGTAAGTTGTGATATTTTTATTGTACAAGTGTTGTCTATAAGAAAATATTTTTAAGATCAACATACTGCACGTAACAGTTGTAAAATGAACACGTGATAATAACATATTGTTATGTACATGTACGCTGGGCAACATGTAATGTGATATGCGTTTCGTGTTTAGTTAGCAACAATTGTAATATTGATATACCTATATGCACTGTATTGATAATAGGTAGCATTTTTAATATGGTATATACTTTTTATATACAGCATGTACTACAGGTGTATCATGGTGTAGATGTTTTATAAAGTATGTAAAATAAATATAATTTATAACACAGTGTGAACTTTATTTTGACTATGCACATTGATATCAATTTATCGTGGTATACATATGCAGGACCACACACTTGTCCGCGCACTCGTGAATATTTTCGTCCGCGCAATACACTCGTGCTTTCTGATTCGTTAGAAAAACACAAATGTGTGGTCTTGCTTTTATCACATACAATGTACCTTCCGTATTCGGTAAAGATCGATGCAAAGATTTTATAAACTTTGATATTTTTTTGCAAATACCGGGAACTTTTCAGTTCTCCATGACAAGGGGATTCCCATAAAAAGTAGTTCCGGCTAGTAGGTAAATACAACATTCCGTATTGCACATGTGCACTACAGAACGTTGTATTTCATGGTCTGAAAATTGCTTGTATTACTATAACAAGATTCAACAGGTTTGTGATAAATTTCAATGAACGGTTTTTACGAAAATTTCGATTCGTAACAGGATCTATAATCAGGATACAGTGTTAACAGTAAGGACCAGTTGTTACACGGGCTATAGGTTTATGTTAATTATGTACGATAAGTAGCAACTGTAACATGGTAAATATACCTATATATATGTATATATATATATATATGGAATATGAAGAGAAAGTGTTTTTCTCCTGTCCACATAGCTCCAACAACCCAGGTGGATATACAGTTGTGGGACCGCACAACGCACCAAAAATGGCGTGCGCACACCGTGCATACATCGTTCACACACCGTCCGCACATCGTCCACACATGGTGCGCACAACTGTGCGATTTAGCAATCGTTCGCCCCGTTGTGCGCTTCTCTCCGCACAACTGTGCGATTTGGTATCGTTTGTAGATCAAAATTACGGAATGACAAAAATACGGAAGGCTTGTATGCGATAATGTACACTGTGTATATATCTGTAATTTCTCATCCCAATAATCAAGATTATACAATTTCACAATGCGTATTACACAGTATTACAGTGACCGTTAGGCTGTCAAGAAAGGGTTTGGCTCCAAGGTAACAGAACAGGTAAATAACAATTTTATGAGTGTCCGGAGTTTTACCTGACCAGTGCCTGACACACAGAGCTGATATGCGATACCGTTTGACCGTAATAAAAAGGATTTGTTATTTGCATTCGTTTACCTATATATAGCTCCCCTTCACCTGGATTTTCACACCCCCGGCCTTACCCGACGAGTTACGTAAATGCCCCAGGCGGGGAGAAAACTACGGTCCAGGTACATGTACACAATGGTTATGTTTACCTGTATACGGGGTTGTGTTGTAATTTTACATGTGTCGATTAAGTTTGTTTAAAAACACAGAAAACACAATTCCTAAATATAAGAATTTATAGACAGAAAGATAAGTTTATAGATGTTGCTAGAATATAGAAACATACGTAAACATCAAGTTTATATGTTTAACAAGAAACCGTATAAATTGTTAAGGCATTCCTCAATTTACACCAACCACGATTGTTATCGCACAACGTCCGTCCATCGTGCGCACATATGTGCGCAAGCAATGATCGTTCAGCTTTTTATCGTTCGCCCATCGTGCACACACCGTTCACACACCGTGCACACATCGTGCGCACACCGCACATCGTGTAACGTTGTGCGATCCCACA